TAACTAATTCCCGCAAACCAAGGGGCTTAACCCAAATTTATTATCTTTGTTCTGGAGGTCAGATGTCCGAAATGAGTCTTAAAGAGCTAAAACTAAGCTGTTGGCAGGGCCAGTTCCTTCTGAGGCTCTAGGGGAGACTCTGTTTCCTCCCTGTTTCCACCTGCTGGGGGGCCTCCTGCATTCCTTATCTTATGGCCCCTTCCTCCAGCTCAAGATGCATCACTACGACCTCACTTGTGTCCTCACCTCCCCTTCTCTGACTTGGACCCTCCAGCCTCCCTCTTCAGAGCCTTGCGATTACATTAGGCCATCTGGATAATTCAGGGTCCTAGGTTTTAGGGTTCAGGACGGGGATATCTCAGGGGCACTGCCCTCCGAGTCCAGGCTCCTTGGCCAATCTGGCGGGGGGCGGGGGTAGAAGGGGGTGCTTGTCCCCTGTCTGCCCCTCCCTCCAGCATCTCTGAACTGTTTTCCTGTCTGTCAGTGAGCCTGGCTGTCTCCCGCCTCTGGGCCTCTGCCCGTGCTGTGTGCCTGCCTTGAAGCCCTGGGGAACCTTTCTCATCTGCCAGAGCTTAGGGTCCCCTCTCATTGAGAGCCTCCCAGCTCGTCGGCTTCTGGCTTCTGCAGAGGGGGGCAAGCCGCAGAGGAGGGCCTGGGAGGAGCAGGTGTCCGCGTCAGGTGTCGAGTCCAGGGCATCTGTTGGGTCAGAGCTGGGTTTCCAAGCCTCACTGGGTCTCGATTTTGAACCTGGGCCCTGGGCCCACATCCCTCACCTGACAGGGAAGCAGTGAGACAGTCTCACTGGTCAGCTGGTTGGCCGGTCCTGCCTCTGACCTGTGGAGGGATCCAGGTGCCAACTGGTGATCAGAGAGGGGGCCAGGGAGTACCCCTCAACTGGGCATTTGCTCTTCGCAGAACCCAGGAAGCACACTGGAGCTAGTTCTTAGTTCACACTCAAGGAGCAGTTGATGCAGACCTTGAGACAGAGTTAGGAATACAAGAGGTTTGGGGTGGGAGGCTTACAAAGAGGGGGGGAGGAAAGGGAGGGAGCAAGCAGAGACCCTTAGATAGTAAGCAGATCTGATGAGGTCCATGCCAGCCCCGTGGGGAGCTGAACAAACAACCCTGCACTCCCACCATTGGCCGGAGCTGCTAACAGCCCCTGAGGTGCCAACAGGTGGAGACTGTTGGCTCCCTTTGCTCCTGCGGCTGAGCAGCGAGTTTTTCCTTAAAAGGGAATTCGTATAGCTGACCCTGCTGCCGCAAGACCCTGGTCACTCAGCTGGTCATTCCCAAGCCCTTATTGGCGCCACGTGTACTTTAGATACCACTGGGGAGACAAGACGTGGACAAAATAGTTACTGCCCCCTTAGAGTTTTTACCCCATGAGGGACCATAAGATATAAACTAAAGAAATAATTCAGTGAGTAGGATGAAACATGGGAGTGAGGGAGAGGATGACCACTTGAGCTAAAGGACTCTTTAAAGAAAGGACATTTGAAGCGGGAATTGTCAGGACACCCAGGGAAGGACACAGTGTCTGGGCAGAAGGAAGAATCCGGTGTCCTTCATGGGAAGGAGCTTGGTGCCCTTGTAACTCGTCTTGAGGGGCAGGCCTGGGCCCTCACCTGCATCTTTTTTTTTTTTTTTTAAAGATTTTTATTTATTTATTTGAGAGAGAGAAAGAGAGAGAGAGCACATGAGGGGGGGGAGGGTCAGAGGGAGAAGCAGACTCCCTGCTGAGCAGGGAGCCCGATGCAGGACTCGATCCCGGGACTCCAGGATCCTGACCTGAGCCGAAGGCAGTCGCTTAACCAACTGAGCCACCCAGGCGTCCCCTCACCCGCATCTTCACTCTCATGGCCTCCACCCCACCCCCACGGCCCCACCTCTTCTTGTGCAGCCTTTGGTCTGGGTGGCCAGTCATGGAGATTCTCGGCTGGACATGGAGAAAGGGATGCCTTGGGTTTAAAAGTGAAGGACGGAGCCAGACCCAAGAGGCCAAATATTGTACCGTCCTCGGTCTGTGAGGGGTCCAGAACAGGCATACCGCAGAGACAAAAAGCAGATCCCTGTCCCCCAGGGGCTGGGGGAGAGAGGACCGGAAGTGAGTGCTTCCTGGGCACAGGGTTTTCTTTTTTTTTTTTTTAAAGATTTTATTTATTTATTCATGAGAGACAGAGGAGGAGAGAGAGAGAGAGAGAAGCAGAGGGAGAAGCAGGCTCCCAAGGAGCAGGAAGCCCGATGTGGGACTCGATCCCAGAACCCTGGGATCATGACCTGAGCCGAAGGCAGACGCTTAACCATCTGAGCCACCCAGGCACCCAAGGGCACAGGGTTTTCTTTGGGGGGCATGAAATATTCTGGAATTAGGTAGAGGTGGTGGTCGCACACCACTGTGAATGAACAAAGTCACTGAATTAACTGTTTTAAATGGTTAATTTTGTGGGGCGCCTGGCTGGCTCAGTTGTTAGAGCGTGTGACTCTTGATCTCTGGGTTGTGAGTTCGAGCTCCATGTTGGGCATAGAGATTACTTAAAAAAAATTTTTTTTTAAATAAATGGGGCACCTGGGTGGTTCAGTCTGCCTTCGGCTGGGGTCATGATCCCAGGGTCTTGGGATCTAGCCCCCCGCATGGGGCTCCCTGCTCAGCAGGGAGCCTGCTTCTCCCTTTACCTCTGCTGCTCCCCCTGCTTGTGCGCATGCTCTCTCTCTCCGTCAAATAAATAAATCTTAAAAATAAATAAATAAATGGTTAATTTTGTGGTATGTGAATTTTACTCCCCCCCCAAAAAAATTCACACACACGACGAGGGACGGGAAGGTGGGGGCGGGGGCACAGTGGCGGTCTGGCCTCAATGGGAATATCTATGCCTTGAGAAACCCTAGACTCGGGAAGGTGGGAGGAGGAGTCTTCTGCAAGGGCTGGGTGGCAGGTGTGTGGATGGGCGGGTCTGGAGAAACAGTGAAGGGGCCTTTGCGGGGGGGGGGGGGGGGAGGGCGGGGCCTCTGGGAGGGGGCGAACTCTGCAAGAGCCCTCACCCGGTCCTGTCTCTTCCCCTTTCTTTTCGGGGAAGCTGTGAAGATTCCACACCCTCCAACTCGAAACCTGTATGATCGTGAACGCCCAAGTACCTTTTATGGTTCCATCTACCCCCGTGAGTACCTACCCTCCTAACTCCCTGGCCCAGCTGGGATTCTGGCAAGGTCTCTGGTCCCTCCCAGTCCCAGCCTGGGGCTCTGAGACCTGCCCCACCTCATGCGTCTCTCACCTGCTCTATGTCAGGGCCCAAGAAGGCCCCTTGAGTGGCCCCCACCCAGCACCCGCTCCCTGGCCAGGGCCTCCAGCTATTCTGGGCTCCTAGTTTACCCTTCAGCGGGGCTTCCTGGCCCGGGTGCCAGTCCCCGGGGTGAAGGCCCGATGTCTGTCCGCAGGTGTCTAGCTAGCTGCAGGGATGGGATCAGAAGCCCATTCATTCTGCCTGGGGCCCCATGAGCCAGGCTGGGGGCACTCCTCGGAGTCCTCTCACCGTGCACCAGGCATCTGCGGGAGCACTTTCTCCCTTGTGTCCTCAGCCCTGTTCTCCAGGCTGACTGTGGAGCTGGGGGCACAGCAACCCCCGCCCCCCGCCCCGATCCTGGACTCCAGGTCCATGTCGGGTTCAGCGTCCGTTTCTGGTGTCATTTATCTGGGGTCACCACCCCCCGGGAAGTTTAGGGTGCCTGGGACTGGGTGAGCCGTGGGAAACCACTTCTAGTCTGGTAGCTTCTGGGCTCCTTAGTGGGCATGACCCCATCCGGCCAGCCTCCCCCCCCCCCACCCCGGGGCATGTTCCTGGGACACATCACCGACTTTCCTGCCCCTCCCAGCCCTGCACACCCATGCCAGCGTGCGCTCCGCTGCCTCAGGCCCCCCGCCTACAACACCAGCTCAGCCTCCATCGCTGCTGCCCCTGCCACTGCTCCCCCCACTGACGCCATCCGGGCGGGACCCCCAGCAGGCCCCAGGGCCCGCCCGGCACCCAAGGGCTCTGCGCCTCGAGTCCCGAGCCAGCACGCAGCCATCCGAGGAGCCCACCAATCCGTGAGCCTTGCGTCCCGCACCCCTACCGTCTGTCCTCTCCCCCTGCCCGCAGAGACTGGGCCCTGAACCTGGCCTGAGGAGGGCGCAGGGGCCCTGGGCGTGGGGGAGGGGCCTCCATAAGGGAATCATTTTGACCCAGGGGCTATTTTAACTCATGCATATAAATACAACACAATCCTTCTTATCCTACGCTTCGTGGAGCACATAGCTTTATAGATTGAATTTTTCACTAAGCCAATATAATTCCTTGACCAGTTTTCAATACAACAGCTAATGCGCTTTTAAAAACAATCACTTTCCTTTTTATTTTGCTGAAATGACTCTATCAGAATCAGTTCCAATTACAGCTACTGCCCACGGACATTTTCTTTGGGAGCCATTGTTTCTAACAAGACCAATTTTCTCACGGGAACCAAATTTTACTGTGTGCATCCTTTTTTTTTTTTTATTTCATGTTGATTATTCCCACCAGTAATTACGGTTATGAATTGGATATTTTTAAAACCTGATTGTTTATATTTACTTTTTTGGCCAATCCATGAGGAACTTGGAGCAGCGGCCCTGGAATATTCCGGGACTGCTCTCTCCCACCGAGGGCTGGGATCCCGCACGCCTGTTTGACGTCCTTCTGGTTCCCGTGCTAACTGCCTGTGCACTTGGTAGAATAAAGAGGTCGTAATGTCCTGATCTGGCCATTTAGTGGGCAGCTGCCACCGGGCATGCATGGCTTGATTTTTTTCCCCTTAGGCAGCTTGTTCCTCCCTCCTTCTCCCTGTCAACTTCTCTCCCTCTTCCTCTCCATTCCTCAGCTCTGTCTAGTTGTGTCCTCTATGCTTTTTGTACTTCTGACGTGTCTACGCATTATACAAAGTCTAAAAAATTTCCTTCTGCGTGGTTTTGGGACATGACTCTCCCCCCACCCCCAACATCCACTAGAGGCCCCTGGGACTGCCAGGTGGGTAAGGGAGTTGGAGGGGGGTGAGGTGCCCAGGGGTCTGCCAAGGGGGGAGCCAGGAAGCTGGCATGGAGGAGGATCCCCAGCCTGGCGGCCATGAGTTCAGGAACACTGCATGCCTACCCCCTTCCTAATGGTCCCCTGGCGCTTTCCCCAGTTCCTCATCGGTGACCACTCCCAGACCCTGACTTCTCTTTTCTTTCTCCAAGGACTGTGTCTAAATGAGGCCAAGCTTTTCCTGACCCAGGCGACTTACCTGTTCAGGATGCCTTAGGGAGCACTGGCTGGTGCAGTCCTGGACCCCGCACCCACCCCCATATCACAGATGAGTATTTTTGGCAACTTCTCCCCAGAATAAAATCTTTCACTTTTTGACTGTGGATGAGGGTAACTGGCCTGGTGCCCTCTTTAGAGGGTGGCCTTGTCTGCCCCACGTGGGCGAGTGGACCTGCTGGTCCCTACTCAGGCCCCCACCCCGGGGTCAGCCTCCCAGAGCCACCAGCCAGAACCACCATGGCTGAGTCCCAGTAGAGAATCAACAGCAAACATTCTTGCCTCTGCTACATTTTCCACCATGGCAAAGTGTCCCGAGGTGCCTTAGCCCTGTGTTCTGAGGACAGGGGTGGTGGTGTGAGCTGCCCAGGTTTGCTCAGGGAGGCCTCAGCTCTCCAGCCCCTGGCCAGTAGCTGTCCTTCTTGGGTGCTGTACATGGGTATAAGGGCCCCAACTTCCTTCCACCGCCTCCCACGGCAGGAAAGGGAGGTGTGGCCTGGGCTCAGGCGAAGAGTCCCATGTCAGGCTTGTCCCCTGCAGCCCTGACCCTTGGGCACCCACACATCCAGGTTCGATTTTCAGACCCTCCTATCCATCCCCAGTCACCCCTCAAAGCTGCCTTCCCAGCCATTTTTCAGTTTTACAAAGGGAATCCAAACAATTGAGTTGGTTCTTGCAGCCCAGGCATCGAGGAGTGAGGCCCAGGTAGGTGACTATGTAACCATTTGCATTAGGACAGGCTCCTCAGAGTTTAGGAAGGTGGGGAAAACCACCAGCAGCCAGCCAGGAGCAGTGTCAGAAGACAACGGTCCTGTTCCCCATAGAGGTTGTGGGGGAACAAGCTGGCCTTTGGCCTGGTCCCAGATGGGAGCTGCAGGCAGAATCCTTGCCCCTCCAGATTCCAGCCCCAGAGGGTGGGGCCTGCAGGAAGCTGGGAGGGAGGTGCTGCACCGACCCCCAGGCAGGTGCCTCAGGAAGGTAGCCCACCCTCTCCCAGCAGGGAAACGTGCTTGGGGAGCAGACAGAACCAGGATGGGGTCCGCAGAGTGGGAATTTCAGAAGGTCCTGGGTCCAGCTTCCTCCTTTGCCATGGGTCCTGGCCTGAGACGCAGCAGCAGTGTCAGGCTGGACAGGGGGTAAGGTGACCAACTGTCCCAGATCTGCCTGGCTCATGGCTTCAGCAGGATCCACAGGAAACCACCCCACCAGCATGTGCAGCTCTTGTTCCCCAGGAGAAATGCCCTCGGGAAGCAGAGCAGAAGTCGGCCAGCAGGCTCCCAGCACCTCGGGCTGTGCTGGTGACACAGCCTCGGCCATCCTAGAAATGGGTCCGAGGGGACCCAACGCCCCCCACCCCTAAAAGAGTGGAGTTATTCTAAGGTGCATCTGAAACACATAAATTGCCCGAACAGAAGCTGTGGCTAAGCAACCAGAGACCCTTCCAAATGCTAGAATTGGAAATAGCCTTGCTTCAAAAGACCTCCTTTTGTCCAGCCCAGGCAGCCTCCCCAACACTGACCCTGGGAAGTAACCAAACTCAAAGCTCGCATCTGTCCTCAGAGAAGTCCTGCTATAAAAGCCCCTCAGAGACTTCCAGAGCCATGGTGGCCCCGCCCACTGCCGGGTTTAGGGGCTGGCCTTGGGGACAGCGTCGTTTTGTGCCACCGGCCACAATGCGTTCTCAGAGAGCCCTCGAAAGACCCTGGGGACCCTTAGCGGCCCTGGGAGCGTCCACTTCATCGGAGAGAATCTTGGAGAACAAGCCCTTCTCTTTTGAAAGCTGTCTGAAGGGGAGCCCTGCCTGCCCGCAGAAAGCATTTTGGAGTCTCCATTCATCCACCGGCTGCCCCCCTCCAACCCACGGAGCATGCCTTTCACTTGTGAAGCTCTTCCTGGTGAAAAACAAGGTCCCTCCAGATTCCAACCGATTTGGAGACAGGAACTGGACACACACGTTTGTGGCCAGCGGAGCGGCCTGGCTGACTAGGGGCAGGCTGGCTGTGTCCCCACTGTGATGGTCTGCTTCAGCCAGCTGCAGCCTTGCAGGAACCTGGGCCAGCTGTTACAAATGTCCAAGGTGAGCCAGAAGTGAGGCTTTTCGTGCAAACTCTCATTTTAAAGTGTTGGTAGACCATTCAGAAAGACATGGAACATGATGCAAGCCCAGCAGCATGTCAGGGCACTAGGAGCTTGCAAACCCCTAAGTTAGCACGCTCAGGTGTTTTAACGGCAGACCAGAAAGACACACCCACTGCCTGTCACCTGGGGAAGCCAGACCTTCATCCCACATGCTGCCACGTCCAGTCTTCAGAAATGAGAGCTCATATCGTCCTTTCAAGCAATGTCACAGATGCAAATGGTGTTTAGAGCAGAACTTTGGAAACGGTCATTTGACCTCAAGTCTGGCAGGCAGGTAGGGGGTGACCATGCCCAGAAGAGGCTGGGCTTTGAAGTAACAAGGCCAGTTTCCCGTGTGTGCTGCTGGGGTAGCTCCCAGGAGGCGGTGAGATCAAGGACAGCTGAGGATGGCTGTCTCTTCCCTTCCGTTCATGCACCAGCACCTTTGCTTTCCAGCCATTTTACACTCTCATGTGTAATAGATGGTTACTGACTCCTTCAGCCTTGCGTCGGAGCTTCCAGCCTTAGGGAAGTTGAGGAAGGTTTCAGGTCTCTGTTCCCAGCTCTGGCTCCCCCTTGAGTTTGTCTGGCCTGCTCTTGCAGCCTTTCCCGTGGTCTGAGCATCTCAGACCAGGAGCACCCAGCACACCTGACAGGGCCTCTGCATTTGCTGGGAAGTTAGGGGAGTCTCCAGCCCCAGCTCTGGCCCTGCTCTCCGACCCCTCCTTGCTTGGAGCACTGATGAAAAATCAGATTCCTGGGCCCTCCTCCAGAGCAGTTGCCTCAAGCACCCAGGGCCCCTTATGCCCTACATGTTTGGGGTGAGTCTGGTGGCTCCCAGTCACTGGGAGGCGCATGTGCCTGGCTCCTGCCTCACAGACACCTGGGTGTTGAGTAACAGCTTTGACATACAGTTGGCGTTCTCTAGAGTTCACCCTTTCAAGGTATATGATTAAGTGGTTTTTATTCTGAAGTTGATCAACCAATATCCTGTGGAACGTTTAAAATAATACTGTCAGGGCTTCTCCCCCAGGGACTCTTGATGCCATGGGATCTGGGAGTCTGTGGTTTGTCTTTTTACGGAGCTCCCCGGAGGCTCTGCTGTGCAGCCAACTATGGGAACCTGGGTTTAGGGGACATTTTGCCATGTCTACAGATACTTCTGGTTGTCACAACTGGGGGATGCTACTGGCATGTAGTGGGTGGGGGCCAGGATGCGGGCCAGTATCCCAGAGCACAGGACACCCCATGGCAGACAGTAATCCAGCTCCAAATATCCAGTGCCCAGGCTAGAAACCCAGAACCTACAGGAACCTCAAGTCCTTTCCAGCCTGATGTGACCACCTGAGGCCTCCAGGCCAGCCCATGGTGACCCCCAGACATGGAAATGCACCTCACCTCCAACAGGTCAGCACTCAGTAGAGATGTTGTGTAGGGACACCTCTCAACGTGGAGCTTGAGGTCCTGCATCTAACAAAACTCTGAGTAGCAAGACTAGCTTATTTACAGGCCCCCCGCTGGCCTGCCCGGGGTTGAGCCTCTGCCTCCCAAGAGTGCAAATTCTCGATGGTGCACGGTCTCCTTGTCTCTGACACACACACCACCCAGTCATCTGCTTACTGGGACAACCCAGGCACATGCACCCCTACAGAGCTGAGAACCCACAAACACGCACTTGCCTCTTCATCTCTCCTGCTGCTCGAGGGAGCCGTGTGGCAGTTATTTGCGCATTTTCTCCCATCAGAAGGCTGTGGTGAAGATTCAGGAGGCTCAAGACACCCTGACCCTCACCCTGCCCCACCCCTCCCTCCCTCCCCTCTCCGTAGTAACTCCTCACAGAGCTGTCCTCCTCCTGGAGGAAGGCCAGTAAGGCTGGTGGAAGGGGGGGTGGGCGGTTCAAGGTGAGGACATGATTCCAGGACAGAAACAACAGCTGGAGTGGGGCCCAGCGGTCAGTCTTCAGGAAAGCCAGAGAGCAGAGTAGTCCCCTGAGCCTGTCCAGGGTCCAGCAGGGTGGAGACAAAGCTGGGGAAGCCAGGTAGTGGCTCAGAGAACACCCGACACAGGAGCATCCTCATCAGAAGACCCAGCCCCATCCCTGGAAGCAAGGGCAGGACTGCCAGTGGGGAGCGCAGAGATGTCAGTCAAGCAGGAGACCTTCTGAAATAGAAGAAACTCTCCAACCCAGGTGTCATCCGCAGAAGACCAAGGTGCTGGGTGGGCGCCAGACAGGTGGTCCTAAGTTAGAGAGTGAAGTCCACCTGTACTGAAGGTTGGGCAGAGACCTTGGCCTCCCTCCTTCCCCAAAACCCAGCCCCTCACAAGAGGTACAAGGCTGAGGCTGCCCAAGGAAGCCCCTTTCCCAGCAAGGGCAGCTGCCGGTGGGGCGGGGGGTTTGCACAGAGTGGGGCACCCCTGGCTTCTCCCTTGGGGTGAGAGCAGGTGTCTGCCCCAGCCCAGCTCCGGAGCAGCCCAGGATCCTATCACTCCTAGGTTGCCAGTCTCCTTAGTGACCAAAGGTTTGAGCTGCAGGATGGACTCTGCCCTGGGCTCGTCCTGTTCCTGCCACAAGCCCCCACTGGCTCTGCACAGAGGCCGGCTATGTGCACCTCCGCAGGGGGAGGGCCCTGCCCTACCCAGCATGTCTGTTGGAGGTTGGGCTTGCAGAGTCCAGCCTGCAGCCAGCCATTGGGACCCTAAGACACAAAGAAAGGTCCTGTGTGAGACCCAAGCAGACGGGAAGGCAGTTGTTAGCCCTGGAGGTCAGATCAGTCCAGCCTGACAGTGGGAAAGGATGGGCAGGAGGCAGGGATTCTGGGAACACAGGCCAGAAACTAACTTCATGGGAAGAGCCTTGGATGGGCAGAAAGGTTCCAGAGCCATGTTGTGGTTGAAAAAGACAGCAGCAGACAGGAGCCGTGTGGAGCCAGGCAGGACTGGGGGTGCCCTCTGCTCTGGGCTCTGTCAGTGCCCTGCCTCTCCACATGGAGCCAGCGGGCAGCAAAGCTCAGGATGTGAGGCAAGACCACAGAGCCTGGTGGTGGTTTGAACTCTTTCTTCTCTTTTTGTTAAAAGGGGGAATTGAAAGGGTGTGAGGTACCCACGGGCTCTGGGGGAGGCATGCAGGCAGCCCCAGCAGGCAGGCGCTGGGGAATGGGTGGGAAGAGTCCTGGAGTTTCCCACAATTCTCTTCTCTGCAGGGAACAGCAAGGCTGGCTGACAAGGGGGTGGGAGAGAGAGGCAGGGCCCTGGGGAGAGGGGTGGCGGGCAAGGGGCTTGGGGGCTCACTCTAACATGCAAAGTCCAGCTGCCCCTAAACTAGGTTGCTTCTTGGAGAGCGACATACATATAAATACAGACACAGCTACACACACGTGTGGAGAAGGCTCTGCATTCCCAAGAGTGGGGCTCTGGGCCTGCTGGCCCCCAAAGAGCTCCGAGGCAGGAGCCAGCCAAGTCTCCGCTGCTGTGGCGATTCTCCGCAGCCCCCTGGGGTGGGGCAGGGCGAGCAAGTCCTCTGGGGAAGGCTGCTTGTTCTCCAAAGTTCTGTCCACCAGCACCAAGACAACTCTGAACCAAATCCATGCAAGGTGGGTGCTCTGTGCCTGCGCGTCCATGTCTGTGCGCGGGCAGCCTGTGTGCTGGCACCAGGGTCCGGTCTCTCCCCTCCAGGGCTCCGGGGTACGGGGGGTGCAGACAGAGGAGGGTGAAGGGGGCCCACAGAGACATCCTCTCCCCCCCCCACAGGGTCCTGGCCTCCGGGAGGGGGGAGGGGCCTCCCTTATCTCTCGGCCTCCATGGCAGGGTGGGCCCTTGGTTCTGAAGCGGCCTGCTGGGGGGCCAAGGGTGGCCAGTCTGACGCTGGGGAGGGAGGTGCCGGAGTCCACAGGGGCAGCTGCTGCGGCTGGTGGTGCTGTGGCCCCCCTGGGGGCGAGGCCGCAGTCGGCCAGCTCGGGGCCGCGAAGCTGCCGGTGGCGGCGTGGGGGAAGTGCGGCGGGGGGGATGTGGCCGTGGCGGCCATTGGGCTACCACTGCCACCACCGTGAAAACTCTCGGAAGCCTTGAGACGGGAAAACATGGTGAGGGCGTCAGGGAAGTTGGGGGGCGTGGCAGGGGTGTTGGCAGGAGTGCACATCTGTGGGGGAAAACAGAGAGGGTGGGGTGAGCACCCCTTTGTGGGAGGGCCCCTGGCCTCCGGCTGCCTCCCAGGAGGAGACACACACTCAGCCACTGTGGGGAGCTTCTGGGCCTCTGTGCTGGCTGCGTCCTGGCTCTGCGAGGCAGTCCACTAGCTCGGGGCTCACCGAGGGAAGGCACAGCCGAGACGGGCCGGCCCACCACACCGCCGGGCAGTCTCCGAGGAGGACCCTCCACGGCAGAGAGCCACTGCGGCTTCCCCGCCCTGGACCAGGAGCACCCCCTCTCGCCACCCCTGCGGCCGCAAGACACTTACCATCTGGTGGTGGTGGTGGCTGTAGGGGATGTTGGTCTCCTGGAAAAAGGCGCTAAGGGCTGTCTGTGGAAAGAAGGCCCAGATTTAATTACCCTCAGGCCCTTGTTTCCAGAATCTCCAGGACTTGGTGTGGCCCTGGGCCTGGCTACGAAGTGAATGGAAGGAGTGTGCCTGTCAACCCCCAAGGAGGCGCTAGAGACTCCCAGGCGGGCAGGCCGGCCTCCAGCTCCGCACACACCTCATGTGGTCACTGTGACCTCGGGAACGGAGCAGGGAGCACCCTCTCCCGGTCTCACAGGGAAAGGCCTTTGATTGAGATTCTAGCCTGACTGTCACCAACTCCATGGGTGGCAACTCCCTCATCTGAGCCTCAATTTCCTCATCTGTGAGCCAGGGGATAGCAAAGACTCCCAAATGTTAAGTCTATGACCCGCCTGCCCCTCTCCTTGGCTGGCCACAGGAGCCTGCCATGATCTGGGCCTCAGTTTCTCCATCTGCACCACAAGGAGACTGGGCTGGGTGGTTTCCAGATTCCCCTCCCTGCTGCAATAACCTGAGATCCACATTCCACCTGGGAGAGCCAGAATTACGTAGGATGGTCTGGGTTTTACACTCGTTGCCCCACTCACCCAAGCCTCCCTTGGAATGTTAAGGTGCAGAGCAGGAGGATGGCAGAAGGGGGTCTGCACCCAGGGAGGTGAGAAGGGGAGTGGGAAAGGAGGCAGAGAGCAGGTCTATGCCAGACAAGCTCATGTGGAGGCCCTGGGGGACTGGCAAGAGGGGGCTCCAGGAGCCTGAGGGAGGTGCTGCGTTTGGTCTGTCCTGGCCAGGGGCCTGCAGGAGAGGTGCTGAGGAAAATAAGAGAGCCAGCTACTCTTGCAAAAGTGCTGGGTAAGGGAGTATGTGCCAAGTCCCAGGCCCAGCCCCAGCTGCCCTCCTTCGCCACCCCTTTAGGTTCCCTGCCCCCCAAACCCAGCCCAATCCCCTGCCCCCCCCCCCTGCAGCACAGCCAGACCAAGCTGGCTCCCAGGGCTTGCCCTGGGGGTTTGGTTTTTTTTTAGATTCAGATTAATTTTTCTGGGAATTTCCTGCTGGAGATTTCCTACCCCAGTGTCCCCAAACAGGGTGTGGGAACGGGCTGGGGTTAAGTACCTCCTCAGGACTCCCTCCCACCTGGGAGCCCCAGGCGACACACCCAAACCATTCCTTCCCAACAGCAGATCCAAAGGCCACCTGAGTGAGGATTCCAGTGAGAACATTCTGCTGCCTTAAAGCACCACCACTTAAAACACACAGGTCCCCTTCCCCCTGCAGCCGCCTGTCCTCATTAACACCTGAATCACAAAGGTACGACCCAAAAACACGGCCTTTGGCTGGGTCAACCCGCAGCCAGTGAGCCTGCAGGGGAGGTTACCGTGGGGGAAGGGTAGCCCTGAGGAACCCCTCACTCACTTTCATGCAAGGACCTATGGTTTGGGGGTTCACATCCCATTTTCACTTTAAGTGAACCTCCCTAGTATCCATATCCTCAATTTTAGAGATGTGAAACATAGACTCAGGGAGCCCAGAGCATATGGCTCCTACCCCAGGGGCTCACCAGAGCTACCAAGTCTGCAGGCCGCTCCTGCCCCTCTTGGGGACAGAGTTTTCCCCAGCATTTCAATCCTCAAAGCTACATTTTAATTCCCATGATGGAGTGACACCAACCCGTGCTGAGAGACAGCCCAGCGGGTGCCGGCTCTGTGCTGGGCTGAGAGTCCAGACACGCAAAGGCTTCCCACCAGACACCTGCCTGCCCAGCCCCAGGCAGGGAGGGAACCATGTATGTAGATGTGGGACTCAAGCAAACTGCCATGAATGTGGTTTTACAAGTTTTGCCACATCTAGCCTGTGAGACAAACAGGCTGATTAGGGAGCTTCCTGCAGGGTGGGGCTGCAGGCCCTGCGAGGGGTGGGGGGGTGGGGGGGTGGGGAGGGTGGAGGGAGTGGCCATCCACTTCTTAGAGGTCAACTCCCACACTGGAGGTGCAGAGAAAACTGAGGCCAGAGGAGGGAAGGGACTTGCCCAAAGCGAGGAGCCTCCCATCTTGGGGTGTGAGAACCACAAAGGATCAGTGGTCCCTCCTCAAAGCTCTGGTAGACGTTGGTGAGCAAAGATCCCTCTGGCTGGACAGGCCAATGCTCCCACAGGCTGTCCAAGCCTTTGGGCTGGAATTCTGATCCCCATCCCACTCTCAGGAAACTGCGCCCTGGAATCCCCTGGCTCACTGTCCCCTCAGCAGGCCCAAACACCTTTCCTGGGGTGGCTCCCCATCAGGAAACCAGGCCCCTGGGTCCTGGCTGGGCACAGACACTGGCTGGGCTGTGACCTTACACCTGTGAGGGGTGGAGCTCAAGGGCTCTGGCCTCTTTTCTAGATACCACCCTGGGTTATTTCTGGGGCAGTTGAGCTAGGCAAAGCCAAGTGGCCTCTTGGCAGCACAAGCTGTGGGCACTAGTGCCCTGTGGGTCAGGGAGGCCTGGTGGGTGGGGTCCTGACTGAGGCAGCCCCACCTCCTGCCCAGCTGACTGGAAGCTACTGAGCCATGTAAACCACGCCGTACACTATGCAGGTAGATTCTCCTGCCAGCACGGAGGCGGCCACCTGGGCACGCCTCTGGGGCGGGGCGCACAGATGCACACCCCTACCTGTAGTGTGGGATCCAACACAGCACCGGTACACTCGTGTGTGTACACGGAACACACACAGCCCGCACCCGCGCGCCGAGTGGACTGCGTGTTTACACACACGCCAACATGCCCACACGTAGCGTGGCGCGTGCGTAAATACAAACGCACATGTACGTGGACCCAGGCGCCACCGAGCTGCCCACCGGGCACGCACACCCTCAGACCCACTCGCGCGGGGCCCCGGCTCTCGTTGGCCCCGGGGCTCCCCGTCTCACCCCGCGGCTCCCGAGATGGGGGCGGCGCGCGGTCCCGGCCCGGGGCGTCCTCCTTCCGGCCGCCTGCCAACTGTCCGTCCGGGCGGCGGCGCCGCCCCGCCCTGGCCGTTAGCCGAACAAAAGAGGGGGATCCCTGCATCCCGACTGCCCGAGGACGCAGGGGGGGGCGGGGATTCGGGGTGCCGGCGGGGGCGGTCCGCCCCTCCCGCACACCCCGCGCGGGCGGCGTTTCCGGGGGCCGCGTAGACGCGGCCCCGACAACCGGCCAGACCCGCACGCCGCGTGTGCGCGCTAGGGCCCGGCCGCCGGGGCGCGCGGCCGCCGGGACACCTGGCCGAGTGCGCGGCCCCGGCCCGGCCCGGGCGCAGCGCGCACCGGCACGTGTCCACACCCGCCCGCACACGCGCGGTTGGCGGGACGGACCCGGACCCGACCCCGGCCCCGGCCCGGCCGCACACCTCGAACTGCCAGTGGGCCGCCTGCAGCAGCTGCTTCGCCTGGTCGGCCGCACAGCCCGCCGTCAGCACGAACTGGTTGATCATGACCTGGTGCTTGAGCTCATCCATGTTCACGGACATGGCGCCGCCGCCGCGCTGCCCGCTGCCTCCCGCCGCCGCGCTCCTCCACCTCACGCGTCCACCATTAGCGAGCCGGCTCCGGCTAATACAAATATTTACTGTACGGCTCTGACTCACCGAGCCTCGCCTGGCTCGGGGCCGCGGGGGCATGCTGGGAGATGTAGTCCCGCGCCGCGGCCGGCCGGGGGGCGCAGGGAGGTGTGTCCGGACGCTGCCCCTGCTGTGTGCGGAAGCGGGCGGGCGCGTCTGCAGGCCCTCACCGAGGCTCGTGGGGGTCCAGCAGGCGGAGGCCGCTGGCGTCTTTGCCCGGTGTGCCTGGCATCCCTCTGTTGAATGGGCGCACACTTGGAAAGGGGGCCCCTAGAAATTTTGGCATAAATCGTAAGCACTGGGACGCACAGCCCCGAATGCCTGGCACACAGTAGGCGCCAATAAATACTCCACTGAATGAATGAATGTACTCCTTCACTGAATGAATGAATGTACCCCTTAGGGCTCTGCAGAGAGTCACCGCCTCCAGGAAGCCTTCCGGTCTCCCCAGCGCCCCGAGCACAAGCTCACATAGCCCACTCGTGATGCGGGTCCCTTCCCGGCCTTGTGCTCGGCCAGGCACACAGTAGACCCGAGGAACGTTTGGGGATGGCATGGCGCCCGAACAAGCCGGTGAGGCGGGCAAGCTCTGGTGCCTCGGGGTCCCCTCCCCGCGGGGCTCCCACTTTCCCACGCAAAATCTCGTACGTTCTGCCGAAAATCTCGGCCTTCGGATGCGGGCGCCAGGACCTGGCGGAGCCAGTTCCGGGGCGGCCCCGAACTCCTATTCCCAGAATGCCCCGGTTTATTTGCATCGTTCTGTCCCGAATGACGTCAAGTGAGTGAGGCCGCGCCACCGCCAATGGGCGGCCGCAGAGTGTTAGGACCTGGCCATATAAGGTAAACAAAGCTGGCGGCCCAATGAGGCTGCAGCGGGGGCGGGCACTGGGTTGGAGCCGGCGGGGGCGCGTCACGTGGCGGGCGGGGGTGGGACTGGGGAGCGCGGGAGGGGGGGAGTTGCGTGTTGTGTTTACAGCTCTGCACGCGCAGCTTCCGGGTGACCTCTCGGGTCGGGCGTGCGGGGCCAGGGTGGACTCGGAACGGGATCCCGGGGGCGGGGGGGAGGCGGGGAGAGGTCTGGCTCGGTCACCCCCGCTCTGAGGGACCTTGGCCCGGTTCCTCGCGCCCCCTGGGCTCCAGTTTCATCCGTTGGGCAACCGTTCTTTGAGCCCTTTCTCTTGCCCTGCCCTGACCCGGCGTTACCGCGGAGAGCACACCCCAGAAGGGTTGGCTGGGGAGGGGGGGCGGGGGTGTTGGGACCGTGTATCAGAAATCCCAAGGACGGGGGCGCCTGGGTGGCTCAGTCGTTAAGCTCTGCCTTGGGCTCAGGTCATGGATCCCAGGGTCCTGGGATCGAGCCCCTCGTCGGACTCTCTGCTCAGCGGGGAGCCTGCTTCTCCCACTCTGACTCCCCCTGCTTGTGTTCCCTCTCTCGCTGTGTCTCTCTCTGTCAAATAAATATCCTAAAAAAAAATCTCAGGGACGGATGTAGGCTTGTGGAAATGTAAAAAAGTGCCCTCTGGGAAGTGACACAGGCCCTGGGGGCTTGGGGTGAAAGGTCATTGGGAGGTTTTCCTATATATATATATATATTTTTTTTTAAAGATTTTATTTATTTATTTGAGAGAGAATGAGAAAGAGAGCACATGAGAGGGGGGAGGGTCAGAGGGAGAAGGAGACTCCCCGCCGAGCAGGGAGCCCGATGCGGGACTGGATCCATGGATTCCAGGATCATGACCTGAGCCGAAGGCAGCCGCCCAACCAACTGAGCCACCCAGGCGCCCAGCTTTTCCTATATTTGATCCCTTGTTGGCTTTAGGCTTGGGGTGGGGTCCAGAGGTGGTGGAGGGGTCCAATGGGGATCAGGAGATGTTCTGGATGTGTCTGATTCTAGAGGAGTGCCCCCCCACCCGAACCCAGCACCTCAGTAGAGGAAATGCACTGGGTGGAGGGAACTATGCCACACTGGAGGGGTGGAGAGAAGCCCTACCTAGGTCCTAACCCTTCCAGAGGTTCTGGCTTTGGCGAGTGGGAGGATAATGGGAGACTGGTGGACAGGGCCTGAAGGGTCCTAGGATTGTGGGGGTTGCGGGTGGGCTGGGGCACCCGGATGCTCTGGGAGGGAAGGGAGCCCTGCACAGTAAGACCCCCTAAGTGGCCTTTGAGGGCTAGAGTGCCCTGGGCTAAGTCTATCTGCAGGTAGCAGACTCACAGTGTCCTCTTCCAGGTGGGCACCTTGGCTCTGGCAGAAGTAACCTGTCCGCATGGGAAGTCAGGTTTGGGTGTCTTCTGCTACACGGGATCACTCAGGCTCCACCATTTTTTGCAAACCCTGATAGTGCCAGGAGATTTCTGGTCTTGTTAAGAATGGCTCCTCTACTTAACAAAGCGTCCTTAGCATGAATTAATGTGGGTAAAGCACTCAGCACGAGGTAGGTGGCTCTGAAAGTGGTTATTGCTGTCCCTGTTATACCAGGATAGCATCAGGGCATGCTGGAAGGTAAGTGGGTTTTGGAGCCAGACAGACCTGGGTATGAGTCAACTCTGCTGCTTACTGACTGATGTTGGATAAGCTACTGCAGCCTTGAGCTTTGTTTCATTTGTAGAACCCGAGGTAGCAGTGTGGGGCGATCCCAGGCCTGCTGAGGGGATTAGTACCCGTGCAGTGCTCAGCAAGGGCCCAGTACTCACTGTACCATTTCTAGTACTCACCTCTTTGCCTGCATCTGGACCACTCTAGGGAGCCCAAGCCCCGTTTTTACTGATGAAGAAACAGGCTGGAATCCAAACCACCTTATGCTCTCGCCAGTGTTCAGAGCCAGTGGAGAACAGGCACCCAGTAGGCCATGAGGGTGTATTTCTGGCGAGTGAGAGAGGGCACTGCCCTGGCAGGGCCCACTAGGGGATCTTCTGGCTCCGGGACACAGGAAGTACCTTCCCCCTCTCACCTATCCTTATCCAGCAAGCCTCAGTTACCTGCCCAGGCTTGTCCAGCTCAGAAGGAGCATTTCCAAACCAGCAGGCTGGCTGGGGTGGGGCAGACGAGGCTGGCAGGAGCAAAGGTTACTCCTCTGGCCCCCATGGCACCCCTAGCCCGCTTGTTTTCCTGGGGGCAGCAGGGAAGGAAAAAACAATCTTGTTTTTAGCCAGGATCAGCCTGGCAGGAGAGTGGACTTTGGATTTCTTAGCTAGCTCAGTTGGGGCCTGACAGCTGGGACCAGTAGATAGGACAGGGGGACAAAGAGGTATTTTTTTTTTTTTTTAAGATTTATTTTTATTTTTTATTTTTATTTTTTTAAAGATTTTATTTATTTGAGAGAGAGAGAGAAACAGCATGAGAGGGGAGACGGTCAGAGGGAGAAGCAGGCTCCCCGCCGAGCCGGGAGCCCGACGTGGGGCTCGATCCCAGGACTCCGGGATCATGACCTGAGCCGAAGGCAGTCGCTTAACCAACTGAGCCACCCAGGCGCCCCAAAAAGGTATTTCTAGCAGTGCCCACATCTTAAGTTCTGGGAAGTTGGGTGCCCTGCCAAAGTCTCCCCAGCCTGCCCTGGCCTCCTCCTTCCCACCTCCATCCTTTTTTCCTTTTCCTTTTTTTTTTTTTTTCCCCCCAAGATTCTAAGTTCTCTCCACACGCAATGTGGGGCTCAACCCCACAATTCTGTGATCAAGAGTCTCATGCTCCACTGACTGAGTCAGCGAGGCACCCTTCCACCTCCATTCTTTCAAATACTCCATAGATCATTGGGTGCCTGATTCTGGGAGCACAAGAATGAATAGGCAAGGAGGCTCAGGAAGAAGTCTGGACTCAAGGACTCATCACCCATTAACTGCGCCTAGTGTCTGTTTCAAAAGAACCAGTGCTGGCTGACTGAGAGGATTTGAGATCTAGCCACTGCCTCACTCTTGACCTCTGTTCCTATACCCTCCCCCCAATTTGAATTTAACCACACTGACCTTTGAGCCCCTGGATCATGCTCAGTTCCTTGAAGCCTCAGGGCCTTTGCACATAGTGTTTCCCTGGCATGGAACCTGAACTGGCTTACCTCCTTAGAGTTTGCTCCCCTGCTGGTTTGCTCTTATTTGTATTTCAAATCCTGGCTTAAATGTTACCTCTCCAGAGAAGCCTTCCCTGACACCCCTATCAATAATAAGTCTCCCTTATTATTTCATTGCACCTCTATTCTCCTATAGCACTCACCACATTTTGTATTTATGCACCTGTTAACCTTTTAAGTGTGTCTCCTCACTAACCTGCATGCTCCACATCTAGGGTTCTTCCATTTGATCCCAGTTGCCTGGCTAGTAGCCTGGCCCATTGCCTGTTACATAGTAGCTGCATGATAAATATTTGTTGAATAAATAAATGAATCAGCACAGATGTTGACAGTAGAACTAGTAACAAATCAGAAAGGACCTGTCTCCCAGCAGGGCATGGATAAGCACAGAAAGAACAAGTCCAAAGCTCTATTGAGAGGAATGTTTAATCAAACATCTAGCCCATGGAAATGACTGCCCTGGCCCAGGATCTATAGGAAGGACACGCTCCTAGGGTTGTTTTTCAATGAGAACATCAGGGTCTGTCCTACTCTCCTTGCCTCCCCACCAAGCAGGGAGGCCAGTAAATTGAATTCAGTGTTGGTATATGTATGTGTGTATACACAATACACACAAGTGTTATGTGACTTAATAAAGATAAGGGAAGAAAGATCACATGATGGTGAGGGGGTGTCTTCAGGCCCATCTAGTGGCAAGAGACATGAAACTTAGCACATCGGGATGTTTCTGCTTCTGGGGTGGCAGGGGAGTATGGCAGTAAAAGCAGTGGCCTGCTACAAGTTTCAGCTTCATTACTGTTAATCTACTGCAGCCTAAGCGGGTACTTCACTTCTTCCAGCTTCACTTTCCTTTCTTCATGAATTGGGAATGAAAATAAAAGCTACATCAGAAAATCAAATGAGAGGGGGCACCTGGGTGGCTCAGTCGTTAAGCGTCTGCCTTCGGCTCAGGTCATGGTCCCAGGGTCCTGGGATCAAGCCCCACATTGGGCTCCCTGCTCTGCGGGAAGCCTGCTTCTCCCTCTCCCACTTCCCCTGCTTGTGTTCCCTCTCTTGCTGTGTCTCTGTCAAATAAAATCTTAAAAAAAAAAAAAATTAAATGAGAGACTATGTCTTAACACGATGTCTGGCACATAGTAGGTGCTCAGTAAATGGGAATCTTAATTGTAAAGCAGAGATTTAATCAGGCCCCTCCAAGACCTGGACTCTACTCATAAGCACATAAATCTTCCACCTCTTTTATTAATTTTGGCTTCCCAGGTTCCCTGACAATAGAAGGTTGTATTCTGGACTCTGGCCTCCCAAGGGGCAGGACTCGTTTTAATGTGGAATGTGGTGCATTTACCATTTGAGACCCTTTGCCAGCTGCGCCCTCCCCAGCTGTTTTCCTGGTGGAGCAGGCTTGCCTTGGGAAGCCACTTTCTTCTTGGAACCCCAGTTTCTCAACTGAAGAGTAGGTGAAAACAATCTCCACTTGGCCTGCTTACAGAATTTTATGTGAATCAAAAGCCACGAAAGTACATTGCAACCTGCAAGCCTTTAATCATGACCAATTTTTTAAACATGCTTTCAGCACCTCATATGCAGCCATCCTTTGTGCCTCAGTTTCTCTATATGTAAAATGGGGAGAGGTCTGTGGGGCTGTAAAATTATGTCTTCAAAGTAATTGTTCTGGACGTGGAGTCAAAGAGAAGCCTTGAGGGCGCCTGGGTGGCTCAGATGGTTAAGCGTCTGCCTTCGGCTCAGGTCATGATCCCAGGGTCCTGGGATCGAGTCCCGCATCGGGCTCCCTGCTCCTTGGGAGCCTGCTTCTCCCTCTGCTTCTCTCTCTCTCTCTCTGTCATGAATAAATAAATAAAATCTTTAAAAAAAAAAAAAGAGAGAAGCCTTGAGTTGTGGAAAAGTCTAAAAGAAGTGCTTAGCTTCTCCTGTGAACCCCAACTCCTAGTCGGCTTGGGTTCCATCCCAGCTATTGCCGGGTGGCAGGTAAAGGTGTGCCCTCTCGTGGACGAGGCAGAAGATCGACCCTGGGAAGTGGGGAGAACCATCGTGGCTCAGGGAGATATTTTAGAGAGGGGGTAAATGGAAGGCGCTGGGTCCCTATAAGAATCTATATATGAACAGATTATCAGGAGACTAAAGAGTTAGGATGTTAGTGACGTGTTTGCAATGCAGAGGAAAAGTCAGTTTGTGGTGTGGGTGATGGTTCCTCCCCTCTGGATTCAGGTCCATTTGGTTTGTCCCGGAGTCCCGGTCCGCATCTTCGCTGGGCCGCGGCGAAGGGCATCCTGGGACATGTAGTTCTTTGGTGGGCTTCCTGCGCCGCAGCCCGCCGCCTTCGGCGGCGAGGGGACTCCATTTCCCGAGGTGCCTCGTGCCCGGGGGGCGGAGGGCCGCCGTGGCGTCGGGCCCCGGCCGAGCTGGGGGTTGGGGTTTGGAGGCCGAGGTGCCCGCGGTCGTGGGCGGGTGTTCGTGTGGCCTGGTCAGGGCCATGTCCGCGTGAGGACGCCGCCGCCGCCCGCGTCCCGGCCCCGGCCCGGCCCGGCTCGCAGCGCACCATGGGCTCCATCCTGAGCCGCCGCATCGCGGGTGTGGAGGACATCGACATCCAGGCGAACTCGGCCTATCGCTATCCGCCGAAGTCCGGTGAGCGGCCGGCACGGCCCCGGGCGCGCAGCAGGGCGAGGCCTGGGCCGGAACGCGGGGTGGGCAGGGCGCGCCCGCGCGGTGCGCCTCGCAGAGGGTGTGGTGGGCTCTGCTCGGCCCGCGGCCCTCCTTGCGTCTCCCGGCCTGGGGCTCCGCGCGACTCAGACCGTGGGTGGGGCCCCGGGCTGCCTGCCCCGTCCCGGCGGGGTGACCTTGGGTCAGTCACTTCGCCCGTGCGCGCCTCAGCTCCCTGGTCCGCACACAGGGGAGACTGAGTAGGAAACCCCAGGGCGGGGGTGAGGTTCGTGGCGCGACGCTGGCGAGGGTTTAGCACGGTACCCGGCGCTTCGCTGGTGCTTACAAAGTGGTCATTGTCAAAGGGATTGACATCACACCATCGCCAGTTTTGGCTTTCTTTGGTGGCTTAGTGTGATGACCCGGCCAGTGGTACTGAACACTCGCCACGCCATCTGGACAGAAGCTGAGTTCTCTGGTGACCTCCTGGTGCCTGTGAATGGTGGGTGGGTAGGGGCAGTGACGTTGGGCCCAAGGAGATTATGATCAATGGGGTCCTTGCTGGAAAACAGGAGACTCGTTGGAGGGGACCTACCTGGTTCTCTGGTCTCTTTTTTTGTGGCAGGGAGACCTGAGACACTAGCGAGGAAGTGACTTTTCCAAGGTCTCAGAGCTGGATGGAAGTGCCTCTGGGAGGAGGACCACAAATCCGACTCCCAGTCGACTTGTTCCCACTCTGTTTTGGTGCCCCTAAAGAGTGTGGCCTGACCCAGAACTTTAGCTTGGGTTCCTCCCTCTCCATCTCCTCATGGGGGTCATTTGCTGCGGAAAGAAAAGAAAAAGAACAGAGAATTTGGACATGAGGGGGACTTTGAGGTTGGGTCTCCTGATCCTGGCTTCTGAAGAATCTGAACTGTTATGGTGGTCTCCTAGACCTTACAGTTGCCCTGGGACACCCACCAGGCCAAGTTTCCTTCCAGTGTAGTCCAGGACCACCCACTGCCACTAGTGGAGAAGCTTGTTAAAGGCGCATTTCCCAGGCCCTGCCTCAGACCTGCTGGGGCCTAGGAAGCTGCATTTAAACCCATTTCTCAAGTGAGTCTGATGTCCACTCATATTTGAGAACTGCTTTGCCCTGATTTTGGAAGCCCAAGAGGGAGAGTGGGAAAATAGAGGGGCGGAGACTAGCACAGTTTTTGGAACAGAGTGGGCAGAAGGCACTGTTGCCTGCTTGTGTCCCAGGCACAAGTGCAGGGCAGCCCAGCCTGGTGTGGGGATCCCCTGGAGGCCAGTGGGCTGACATCCCCAGATGGGATTGAAGCAGTTGTTTGAATTCATCCTCTTCCATCTCTGATGTTCTTCCAGCCTGTCTTTGGCTGAGTGACGCTAGGCAAGTTGCTCTGCCCCCTGGGTCACAGTTTCCTCATCTGTACAATGGGTTGATCCTTGAACTGTGCTCAGAATAGTGCCTGGCACCGAAAGTCCTCATAAAATATTAATTAATTGTTACAATGGCTTAAAAAGGAAATCAGCTGGCCAATTCAGACCCTAATAGCTGCTAGCAGTGGCATGGCAGAGATATCAAAGTTTTATGTGGCATTTCCTGTATAACCTGGGACTAGGACACACTTGATGTCCCTTCACTTGGGTGTTTGGACGAAACCACAAATACAAGGCCTTTATAACACCACTTTCAGATTCTGTGTGGTAGACCTTGCTAATCATTCAGGACACTCTTTGTCACCAAGCCTGGACTTGGTTTCAGAATCCATTAATAAACACCCCGGTCAGCCACAACTAATCGATTGGGTCTGTCACCCAAGATGAATGTCATAGGCTACCTTAGAGCACCACAACAGTGCTCTCCTGGACTTGTCCAGTCTGAAAGCTGTCCCCTCAGCTTCCTTGTCCCTCGGGCCACCATGCTCAGGGAGGAGGGTCAGTCTGAGAAATGACCTTAGTTGTACTTTCCTATGTTTCCCCAAGGGTGGACTGGGGACCCCAGGGGAGTTCCAGATGATTTTTAAGGGATGGCCCCATGGACCCTTCTAACACTTGATGAGAAAGTTATCTTTTCAGGACTGTTAATTTTGTTGATAATATCAAGCAGAGAAAAATGATTGGATGTTAATATTTTTTAACACATATGTAATACTGTCAGATCCCTTTCAGCTTTATTGAGACGTAATTGGCATATAATGTTGTGCAAGTTTAATGTGTATACCCTAATGATTTGATATGTGTACACATGGGAAGATGATCACAATATAGGGTGAGTTAACACCCTCATCTCTACACCTTTTTTTTTTTTTTTGGTGTTGAGAACTTTTAAGATCTCTTTCTTTTGCTTGTGGAACTTTCAGCATGTACTGCAAAGGTTCCTAGTTCAAATTTAATAACATTTGCCTTGTTTTCATTGTATTTATTCATTTTACTTTTTAAGTGGCTTTATTGAGATATAAATTGTGTGCCATACAACGCATCCATTGTAAACATATGATTTGCTGACTTTCAGTAAATGTATAGAACTGTGCAACCATCACCACAATCAGGTTTTAGACATTTCCAGCACCCTCCAAAGTTTCCTTGTGTCTGTTTGCAGTCAGTCTGTGCCCCCACCTGACCCCCACCCCATTACTCTGATCTGCTTTCTGTCTTTAAAATGCGCCCTCTCTGGACACTTCATATAAAAGGAATCATTCAACATGTAGTCTCTCTTATGTCTGGCTCCTTGCACTTGGAACAATTTCTTTGAAGCTCATCCATGTTGTAACAGATGTCTGTACCTTATTGTACAGATACCATACATTTTATTTGCCAGTTAACATTTGGGTTGTTTCCACTTTTTGGCTATAATGAATAATGTTGCTATGAACATTGAACGTTTGTATGGCTCTTTTCAATTCTCTTTAGTATACACCTAGGAGAGGAATTGCTGGGTCAGATGGTGACTCTGTGTTTGACCTTTTGATGAACTGCCAGACTGTTCGCATAGTGGCTGTTTCATTTTACATTCCCATCAGCAGTGTGTGAGGGTTCGGGTGCTCCACATCCTCACCAACATTTATTATTGTCTACCTTTTTTTTTTTTTTTAAATAGGCTCTATGCCCAGTGTGGGGCTTGAACTCACAACCCTGAGATTAAGAGCCTTGTGCTGTACTGACTGAGTCAGCCAGGCGCTCCTTTGTCTGCCTTTTTCATTATAACCATCCTTGTGGGCTTGTGGGTGTGAGGTGGTATCTCGTTGTTTTGATTTGCATTTCCCTGATTGATGTGGAACATCTTTTCACGTGCTTATTAGCCATTTGTATACTGTGTGTGTGTGTGTGAGAGAGAGAGAGAGAGAGAGAGAGAGAGCGCGCGCGAGCGAGCGAGCCTGCAGCCTGAGCACACGTGCCAGACGTCTGTTTTTGCCTTTTGTTCATTTTTTAAAGATTGGATTGTTTGTCTTCTTACTGAGTTGTAACAGTTTCTTATTCTGGGTACAGTGACACAATTCCTTTATCAGCTCTGTGACTTGGTAATATTTTTTCCTAGTCTTGACTTGTCTTCATTTTTCTTAATGGTGTCTTTTGAGGATCAAAGGTTTTTAAATTTTGGTTAAGTTCAATTTATCAATTTTTTAGTGGTTAGTGTTTTTGGAGTTATATCTAGGAGATCTTTGCCTAAGCCAAGGTAACAAAGATTTTCTATGTTTTTTTCCTCAGAAGTTTTACAGTTTCAGCTCATGCGTTTGGGTCTGTGGTCCATTTGGTTCCAATTTACATTTGTGCTGCCGAAGCAAGCACTGTGATCCATATTGAGGTAATGTTTTCATGTGTAGTTCCAGGTAAAACTATGAGGTCTTTTTTTTTTGCATATGGATACTATTTCATTATCATTTGTTGGAAAGACTATTCTTGTCCCATCCAGCTGCCTCTGCACCTTTGTAAAAAATGAGTTCACCATAAACGGTGAGGGTTTATTTCTGTACTCCGTTGCCCTGATCACACAGCTGGCCTGTCTTCAGCCGAGGGTCAGAGCAGGAGCGAGGACACCACGGCTGAGCCCGTACAGAGAAGGTGCGGACATGCAGGAGAGGGCCCGGAGTGTAACAGGTGCCCACGCGGAGTACCTGGCTGTGGGCAGCTGCTGCCACAGTCAAACCTCCTCCTGAGGTTATTACTGTTAATTGTGTGTCTCAGAGCGATGCTGTCTGCCCTGTGCTGGTGTTTGAGGGAGGTCGTGCTGGGACCGGGTCACCCAGGAAAAGTGTCGGAAGAGGCAATCAGACGTGACCTACCAACCCAGGCAGGGGACAGAGTGGAGGGGAGATACGCCCCAGACCTAAACCTTGTGTGTGTGCGTGTGCTTTCCGAATGTTTTCACCTCCTTTATCTTATGGGAGCCTTGCCTTATCCTTGTGACACCAAACTTTTGTCCTCTGGTGGAGGAACTAGAAATCAGACTGAGCCTTTTGTCGCGCAGCATCTGAGCCTGGTGTGCAGTAGGCACTTAACAAATGCTTGTGCAATAGGCCCGGAAGGAAACCAACCCCATCTCCCTAGTGTATGGGCCACTCAGACTGGGCTGCATCTTATCCCTCGGTGTGTCGGGCGGGGTCTGACGACTCCTGGGCCTCCTGCCATGTGATGGAGCCGCCCAAGGCGCGTGCAAGATTTTTGGTGTGTACTTTGGTGTTGCCGGCAGTCTAGGAACATCTCGTGAGCACTTGTGTTGGGGTTTACCCTTTGCAAAGTAGGGCCTTGCTGACTGATGTCTTTGGCATCTGAAGGAGAGAGCCGAGGCTGGTGTTGCAGATGAGAGAGGACATTCTCTATCACCGGGGGCATTCTGGGTCTCTGGGCCATCCCTGTCCAAGGGAGTGAGCTTGTGCTGGGCCCCGAGGCAGTAGGATGGAGGGTGGGGAGAAGGGGCTCCTGCACACTGGCGGTTTGCCTTCCTGCTCAGAGACCCACACCATCATCACGAGCGTGGCGCGGCT